TCTCTTTCTCTCACGTGCAACAGTGAGCAAGTGCGGCTGTTCCAGCACTCCCAGTTCCACAGCTGTGAGTCGGAGAAGACGAGTATCCAAGACATGATTGAGAGCAGCAAGAAATGGATAGAAGACTTTGACAGGGATTCCAAAGTGTATCCTTTGCCTGGGTCTGCTCTTGAATTGCACTACATCTTGAGGCAGCAGGAAGTGAGTGAATGGGGAGCACTACAGCCCTGAACAGCAATTTTGAAGCCTTAGCCTCTATTTTAGTGTGTGGTTCCCCAACAGAGTACGGTGTGTAGCAGTTAGATCACGAGGACCTGTCTGTTCTTTGAGCTGTACTTGAGCAAGGCAGTCTCCTCTGTTCCCCCAGTTTTGCCGTGATGCTCTTGTGTGCCACTGCTCTGCTGTGGTACATGGCAGTTGGAGCTGGTACTGTGAGAACTTTAAAAAAAAAAAAGTGAATGAAAGAGTGGAGCAGGCCGTGGGTAAGCAGGGGAGCTAGTGCTGCAGGCCTGCTCTTGGTGCTGTTGGTACAGCCCCTGCTGCATCAGTGGCTTTGTTGTGGGCACTCCCTGCTGAGCAGCCAGGCAGGAGGGAGCAGGGTCTCAGCGAGGGCTCCTGGAGTCGTGTGGACCTGGCACGTGGGGTGGCTGCGTGGCGGGGCAGGGAGGGCTGGGGGTCCCCAGGAGAGCCCTCCCTCCGTCTGGGCTTTGAAGTATGTTGTAGCATGTGGTTAGATCAAATGAGTGAGACCTTGGTGCTATCAGCAGGGATGCTTCCAGGTTGGTGTTGTAACAGCATTACTCTGGGGCTGTCAGTGCCTCCTCTGCAGCGTTCACTGATATTAGCAGCAAATCCCTCAGGCCTCCGATAGCACACGCTGTCCTGAGCACCGTGCTCCTTTGAATTCCCTATAATCCCCCTTTAATTCCATTTGACTTGAATGCAGGAGGCTAAATACAGGCTGTGTGCGCAGGGCTGGCTCCTGGCCCTCAGTACCTGTTCTGGCTGTGCTCTCGAGTGCTAATCCCTCCTGTAAGCCAGGTTTTTCCTTCACCTACCTGCCAGACCTCTCTTCCCAGGTGCACAGAAGCCCCAAGGCAGCAGCCCCAGCCTGGTTCAGCTAGGACTGGATGAAAACAGACAAATCAAAGTGTACCGTTACTGAAAGGTGGGACAGGGCTGTGGAGAGGTGGTGGGGGACACAGGCAGTGTCCCTAAAGATACATCGGGCTTTGGTGATGCCCAGCCACCTCTGCTGTGTCTCTGTGCTGTGCCCTTGAAATAAAGTCACTTTATGAGAGAGTGGAGGAAGGAGGAAGTGAACTTCCCAGGTGGATTCTTCTAATCCTGTAATGTGTCTAAATATTCTTTATAGACTGTTTAATCCAGTGGTGAAATATCAGGGCTTCAATAAATCAACAGTTCTCTCATTAGTATTCTAGCGATGGTGAGCCAGAGCCGTGAATCATGGAGGACTCTGAGTAACTGGTCAAGGGGAGGATGTGAATGCAGCTGAGACCTCACTGGGGGAAATGTGTCAGGAAACGAGCCCAGAGGGATGCCCAGCAAGGGCTTCAGTGCAGGTGGGCTGAGTCCTGGGGCATGTGTGCGAGCAGGGGAGGACAGACAGCGAAACGGCTGGGGACAGAATTGGGGAACGGCCAACTCTGACTCTTGCGGAATGTCCCTCTCTTTTGGGGTGGAAGCAATAGGAACTAAAGCAGGGTTGCTTTTCATGATGGGTGTTCTGGAGAAGTGCTCCCTGCTTCCTCCTCTCTGCCATGACAGCCAGAGCTGTGCAGCACAGCTGTGCTGATGGGAGCTCCTCTGCGTGACAAATGTGCTGATGGCAACGCAGAGCAGGGGTGGCAGGAGGCTGTGTGGTGCTGTTAAGGAACTCAGCCTAGTGTGAATGGTGAGATAGAGCCCCACCTGCGTCCCTCTGTGCCCTGGGGAGAGGGCTCAGGAGCTTGGCTCAGCATCTGGGCTCTCCTTCCCCACTGCAGAGCCAAGCTCAGCCTGTGGTGCCCAGCCTGCAGCCTGGTCTTGCTGCTCCTGCCCAGCTCTGCTGAGCTCCTGGGGGAGCAGGTCTCGGGAGAGAGCATGAAACGAGCTGGAAACAGCTGCGGTGTTGGGATGCACAGCTCCCGGAGCTCAGCAGCAAGCTGGTGGGTTGGTGGTTTGCTCTGGGTGCCTGCGGTGGTGCTCCCCCGGAGAGGCTGTACCCAGAGCACAGCACTACCCTGCCGGGATGCACGGAGCTGGGACAGGGCAGGTGGTGCTGCTCTAACCAGTGGGGAGAAGTCAGGCTCAGCTTTGCTGCTGATGAGTGGGAAATGTGGTGTTTGGTTGTCTTTGTCAGTATTTCCTCCAAACTGACTTGAAATATTGAATGCTTTCAAAAATGCTGAACCACTTGCCATTTGGTCTGGTGAAGAAGTCTGCATTTCCAGGGATCCCATCTGTGAGAAATCACCTTCAAAGCTGTTCTCTCTGGAGATGGCTGGTGCAGGGAGGGGGGGAAGCTGCTGCTCAGCACCCTTCATGCTGTTGGTGTTCCCAGTGTGGCTGATAATGTGCAGGGGGGCAAAGCAGAGCCCCCTCCTGCTCCACTGGCACACCGCCGCAGCAGCTCGTGCTGCCAGCGTGGCAGGGGGAATGTTTACAGGCAAATAGAAATATATTTTTGGTGAACATAATTTTACAGCTCCTCAGAATGTATATATATATATTTTTTGCTGGTTTCCTAAGAATTTTTTAATTGTAAGGAGGTGTTTTGGAAAGGACCCCACAGTTCTGCTGGCCGTAGCACGGGGAGGGGGGCTGTCAGCCTGGGGGACGCTGTGCCCAAAGCTGCAGCCAGTCTGTCTCCAGAGAAGCGTGTATTAGTAGGGCAGAGAAACACCTGCTTTCTTAGCAATAACTTGGTTTAAAACATGTTCCTTTTTCCTGGTAAAACTTGTGATAGCAGCTGTATCTGGTTTTGTACACAAATTAAATCAACATGAGCCTGTTTTGTATGACGATGTTTGTAGCTCCAGTCTTTTTCTTGTGGAGATGTTCTGTTGTAGCGCTGGAGATCCAGCTTGTACTTACTGTTCACATCTTCCCCTCGCTTGTCTCCAGCCTGTTTCATGTTTTGTCTTGTCAAGGTCATTTCTGGCAATTTCCAAGCCCACTTCAGCGCACAGGGGCTTTATCACCATTATTCTATTAAGCATCTGGCCGGGGTAGCAAATGCAGGGGCAGATAGAAAGCTAAAAAACAAAACTACAAAAGCAATTCTTTGTGGGGCTTTCAGCCAGCAGGACGGCTTTTCATGGGCTCGTATCCTGCCCTTTTCATAAAGCTGTCATCCAGCCTGGTTACAATGGCTGTCTCGCTCTGGAGCGCTGTGTCAAGGCTGGAGGACAGGCTGTGTGTGGGAACGGTCCAAGGCCAGGCTGGGTGCCTGGGGAGGGGCTGCCTGCGGGGTGGGCGAGGACAGTTGGATATCCGCTGGAGCCAGTGGGGAGCTCTCCCTGGGAAATGGGGAGAGCTCTGGTGCACTGGTGGGGACCAGGGCATGGCTCCGGAGCTGCTCTCCAGTAACCTGGGATGTGGTAAAATCGCCTAACTCTGCAGGTTGGGGGTTGCTGCTGATTTCCGCACTTCTTTTGGGGGAGCGGTGAGCTTTCCCCCGAATGGTGTTTTAAGTGCAGCTCCAGTGCTTGCTGGAGTCCAGCCGGTGGGATCACCAAACGATGCTCTCACCAGGAATTGGGCAGGATTGATGTGCTCTGCTCTTCCCATGGCTTGTCCCTTTCCCCTTCTCACCCCTTTCCAGCAGCCTTGGGACACCCACAGCAGCCCTTCCCAGCTGGGCACGTTTGCCCTTTCAGGATTTTTCCCTTTAAGGTGGTGTCTCATGAAAGACTCGGCTTGTCCTGTGTCTCCAAGCCTTCAGCAAAGGCTGGTTCTGTCCAAAGGGGACATTTGCCACATGTCCTGGCTGGGGCCTTGCCAGTGCTGAGAGACTGCAGATGTGTAATGGGGCCAGTGCTCGGGAGAGGGGAGGTCAGTGCCTGCCCTTATTTTTCCAGCTCTGATTCCTCTGCAGCACTACTCGCTGGAAATCCTGGGTTCAGAGGGTTGGGATGTGGGGGTGCTGGGTGATCATATGTGGTTTGAGCTACTGGTTCAACAGAAGACAACTGTGGCTGGGGGATGTTAGGA